TAACTAACTAACTAACTAACTAACTAACTAACTAAATAAATAACAAACAAATAATGGGATTAACAGTGGATTCCTCAGAGTGGCTCTTCTTCCACTGGATTCCAAATGGAATTTATAAGTTGATTTTTACGGAGGGAGGAAAACCGGAAAACCCGGAAAACCCTCAAAGCACAGGGGAGAACCAAAAAGCAACTCTACTTACGTACGACATCGAGTACGGCGGGACTCGGGTCGCATTGGTTAGAGGAGAGCGCTCTCACCGCTACAACACCCGTTCAAAAGTCATCGTGAATCTCGTGTGTCACAGAGATCCACGTCATCCCGACATGTATAACGCTGTCGTTTCGATTTCATTTTCATGCAAGACATCATTATCAAAGCAATATATAAACCTTTTCCTGAATAATGTCTTTGCTTTGATAATGGTGTCTTGCATGACATCAAATCAATCTTGTGTGACACATGTATCCCGTCACGTCATCCCGTCATGTAGCGGAGTAAACATGAAAGGCAGACAATATTTACCGGTGTTTGTATGAGTGATCCTCGCTGATCTCTCATTTTCCTGACTATTTCCAAGGGGTAAACCGGTTCGGCTCCTTCTATCATGGCAAATGCAGTTTCTATGAACATCAGAACTCCGGAACGACCAACACCGGCACTACAACGGATAAAATCAAACATCTTTAAAATGTTTTGAAAAAAAAAATTATATTATATTTAAAAAATTAAATTAAATTTTAAAATGTTTGAACATAATTTTCCTGAATTCTCTAAAATGACCACAGAAAATAGAGCCTGGACTTGATGTTTTTGTTCATCCTTGACCTGGAAGCTCCCTGGAAGCAATGTTTTTCACTCAAGTCTAGGTCACGTTCGATATTTTTTTACAGTTGCGAGGCTTTTGTGGCATGGACCACCACAATTTCCAACAACATAATCATACCCAAATTAGTATGATTTCCTGAAGTTTTTGATTGGTCAATAAAATAAAATAACCTTGATGTGTTGGCGATATTTATAATCTGTAAATATTTTATTAATTAGTAAACAATAAACAAAATTGATGAAAACTAAAATCAAATTAATACCTGCAATGGACTACTACGGGTGTACTTGTTCCCTCACGGTAGTGCCTTACACTGTGGACAAACTCGAGAAAATCTGTGGCATCCTCTGGTACATCTAAATCAACGAGAGAGAAAATATTTTAGCATTTTCCCAAGCGACAAAATTTAAATTAAGAAAGAAAAGAAAAGAAAAGAAAAGAAAAGAAAAGA